GGGGGGGCCATGTGTCCCCCCTACTAGTCACCTGTGCTGCAGGGTAGTACTTGAGATCAACGACTGATCCAAGTCTTATGCAAGCCTTGTTATGGCACGGTCTCCCAGACAAACCCACCATCTCCCACTGTTTTCTAATGCTTGTTCTGAATGGGATACAAAGCACAGAAGAGCTATGGCTACACTTCAGCTCTGCCATGGAAAGGAGGTCAACTGCTCTTAACTGTGCACCATAAATCAGGTTGGAGTCTGGTGATAGATGGTTGCCTAGGAACTAACTATAGCTATGGCCCCAAGGGCAGCAGTTGAGAACCAGTGTTCTCATTCACTCAGCGTCTGGATATGTCCATGCCTCCACGAACCATCACGGAGAGCTCAAACAACCAGCACAGCAAGCAGCTTCCCTTCCCATGTCCTTCAAGAAGCAACTTCCACCTGTATGCCCCACTTCATCTGACGGGGCCTCCTTCAGAGAGCATTAGCTAATTCTTGGCTGCTAGGAAGAGAAAGAAATCTGAACCCATGCACCACCCACTCCCGTCATCTTCCTTGCCCCAAGCTTCTCTGAGGATCTACAGCTAGGCCTAGCCCTATGAACACATTTGTACTACTTCTATCCTGGGTTAGGGGAAAGGACAGTACCCCAGACAGAAACACAGAGAACACCATTTCTTACCAAGAAGCTGGTGAAAGACATGAGTAACAGAGTCATCCCACTGGCACTGGAAAAATACCAGCCCAGCTGGAGTCATGTCCTTCTCATGCTTCCTATAGAAGTCAAAGGTCTTGAAGGTTCTCATCTTGAGACTGTGGCTGGAATAAAAGACACAAGAACAAATGGGATGGGACTCTTTCCCATGCCTGATTGCCACAACTCCCTAACCATGGAGCTTCTGTAGACAGATGCAGAAGGGACACCTGGAGAAAACTCTACCCTGCAGTTGTCCAAATCACTTGGGCAGAGGTGGAAATGTGTCAGTCAAAGATACAATGCTCAAGTCACAAGGACTCTATGTAGGTACAAGCATCTTGTCACACAGGCTCCTTTACACAACAAAATGCACTGATTAAGAAAACTAAATGAGAGGGCACTAATATAGGCACATTCCTTTTCAGACTAACTGTGCATAGTGGGTAGGGAGGGGGCTTTGTTTTGTTACTGGAGGCAAAGAAGAGAACAGAACAGTAAAACTGGTCATGCACACAGTGGGGTCCCACGCATCCCTTGCACAAAGCAACCAAGTTGACCCAATGGCTATATCCCACTATTGCAGTGTCTCTCCACCTTTTTAAACTCAGGGCCCCTCTTGTCATACTCAAGGTCCCACCATACCTTTTGTGAATGGATCGGCACCCCACCCCAAAACCTGATTTATTTATTATAGTGTTTACCCCTTTAAAGAGAAGCCAGGCCATGGGGGTGAGGGAGAGGTCAGGCAGGGAGACCCTAAGCCTGTCCTTATCTGCTTATCTTCTCACACTTCCTGTAACACCCTTCAAAGGCTCTCAAGGTGCCCTAATTACATTATTGCAACAAATCACCCTCTGTGGGTGAAATATCTTCAGCATGCAATATGACTTTTTAGTTGAAGGGGATCCTTTAAAAAATACATAAATAAATATAAAAATTAGCCATACTTGTTTTTCTCAAAGAAGGGACACGGCTGGGAGGGAGGAGGGTGGGGGTGAGGGCAATTTCAACATACCATGGTGTCGGTCTAACATCCTCACTGAAATCGATCAAGTGGTCCTGCTTGAAGAGGAGGAAGGTAAAACGGTGGTACCCTGTTCCCTTGGCAGGGAACGGAGGGAAGTAATGACAAATCTCCTTCCCCGCCCCAACATCGTTGCCTGGAATGTTTGTCCTGTCAAGCACAAAGCAGGTTTCGATCATGATCCAAATCATTCCTCCCTTGCTGACATCTCTGACATGATCATGGCACCCAAACCTCCAAGGTGAGGATTTGCACCATACCAGCCCCTTGCCCAGCATGTGCGCTGCTACAAGAGCTTGCTCTGGTCAGGAGAAGTAGCGAGTCATATCCCTGGATTCAAGATGAGAGCAACAATTCCTATATTTAATGCACCTCTGGAAGCGCAACTAAGCATCAAAGCTCTCCTGGAAACTATTTCCTCTCCTCCCTGCCCACTCTCTCTCTCTCCAGGGTTCAGAAAGCTGGACTGTAATCTCCAAAGTGAATGCACAGCACAGAGGTATTGGTTATCAGTACTTACACCAACCAGTGGATGTACTCAGAGGCAGTGTCTCGCAGGTGTCCATCTGCACAGAAAAAGAGGCATTTTAATGATAAGTACCCTGAGTTTGCCCACTGCCTTGTTGATATGCAGAAATTCCCTACATTGGATAAGGGAAAGATGCCTCCAGCATCCAAAAAAATAACTCCCCCCTACAGCTCACAGAGAAGAGCTCAAGACTGAGCCGGGAACTCCTCAGGTCTTGGACCCTAAGGTTGACAATGACCCAAGCAGGAAACCTTGGGCAAAATCACTTTGCTGTGCCTCAGTTCCTCCATTTATAAGATAATGTTACTGATCAACCACTCACAGGAACCCCGTGAGAACTAGGTAATGACAGTAACAGCACTTTGAAAATAGGAAGCTCTGTGTATGAGAAGCAGAGAGAAAGGATGGTGTGATGGTTCCAGTACAAGACTGGGAGACAGGAAACCAAAATTCTTTTTCAGTTTCCTCTGCAAAACATGAATGGGCAATGTTCAGGCTATTTTCTCCCAGAGTAAAAATGGCAGCTCCAGGAGAAAAATAACCTGGGAACAACCAGGGTTAAATCACTCTCAGGAGAGTTTCTTCTGGGACAGTGTATGCTCTGGTTTCTCTCAGAAAAGAAAATAGTCCACCACCACCACCCCCATCACCCCCCAAGAGAAACAGTGTGTCACTTGCTGGACTCTGCTGCTCCAGCAGGAAACAGACCATGGGCATTGTGGGTCGGCCAATTAGGGCTACCATATTCACTGCTGCCACCCATTTCCAGGTAGAGTAAGGGAACCTGTAGAGCATGCCAAGATGTGTGCACAGGAGCCCTTCCTGGCTGTAGTGTCAGCAATGCAAACTCTCCACTCAAAGCCTCAGCATCTAAATGTCTGTACATGCAGCTCTGGGTAAGTTTTTCTACCAAGAGAACAGACCTAGGAGAATTATCCCAGGTTATTCAAATGTGTCACACTAGGTAAGTCACCTTGCTACTCGCTCCCTCAACCATAACTTGGGTACAACGCCACCAGCTGTACAGGGCTGTCGCAAGGCTAACATCTTCCCTACATGTAGTAACGGCACATGCTGCATTTTAAAAACATAAGTTAATCCAATCCTCTGATTAAAGGCAGAAGTGCAGACAACTGCTTGTTATTATTAGAGCCTCACTGCTTTCTTCCAAGAAGAATTTTGCAGTGTAGCACATCTATTCAGTTTCTGGAGCAACTCTGCAAGTGTAGTAGAGCTCATGGCTTGAGGAACATCTAACATGCTTCATTTCCTGGCCACTGCCACCCCAGGGAACAACAGTTCCATAAATAAAAGAGAGTGGAAACAGCCCATACTTAACAGGGTTCTTAAAAAACTTGATACACACCCAGATTAGTTAGCAACAGTGTCCACAGGGTACCTTTATCTGCTTCATACATCACCTCAGGTGGCCTGTAAGCCTAAGTGAGCAATACAAAAAGACACTGTAAGTAAGATTGGTAGGTAGCAGGTTCTTTAAGACTACATATCTTCTTCAAAAATGGAACAATAGTTGCTGGGACATGACTTGGACCACACCATTAAAATCAGTCCAGACAACACCAAGCAGCTCTAGCCATGCCACAGAACAAGTCTTTTTCTTCAGGAAAGGCTTTTTTTTTTTTTGAAAAGCAAACTGGCTACTCAGCAGTGAATTTACTGGAAAGCTCTGTTCAGATCTTAATTTAAATGCATATACAGTCTATGTTCTACCATAGGATTCTTTCCAGGAGTACATTTCTCCCATAGTACATGGCAATGCTATCAGCTCAATTAAAACCTGTGTGTTTTCTTAAAGCAAGTATTGTTCCCAGAGACCACTCGCCGGTGAGATACCTCGGTGGGTGTCACCATGTTCCCATGATATACTGGTACAACATGCTCATCATCTTGGCTGTATTCTACTCGCAGGATAACTCTGGGGACAAAGGTGGCTCCATTGAACAGATCCCGATAGATCCCATAATATTCTGCAACCCGTTGCTTGTGGTAGGGGCCGCTACATTTCTCCCACTCGGCTTTGACTTCATCAAGTGGAATCTGCACTGCAATTGCAAAAAGAAGCAAGACATGTGGCACAGGCTAAGCCAGAGGTGGGCAATTATTTTGGCTGGAGGCCGGCTTAATGAGTTTCGGTGAGCAATAGAGGGCTGCAGAGGTAGCCCCATCTTTTGACCAGTGCCCCACCCCCTGGTTGCCATCTTGGGGCCAAAAGTCCCACCCCTAACCCCTGACATTTGTTACCGGAAGTTCCTCCCCTTACCCCCTAAAGTACTCCAGGGTCAGGGTGGAACCAGGGGAAAAATGAAGTCATACACTAAAAATTAAAGATCTACTATAACATATTTTCATTTTATTTG